TGTGAGCTTCGAAGCAGTGCGAACATACTGAAGAGAATGCAACTATCAAACAACATAGTTGTGTCGAACTTGCTGTGACTGCAACATGTATGATGCCAACTTACTTCTAAATTTGCGTGGTGGATCTTCGCGTTGGTTGTAAACAATGCCTTTTGCATCAACTCAGCAATTTGTCAGATTGTTGAACCAAACTACTGATATTAATGACGATATCACAGGATGCGTTGAGGTCGTCTATACATTTTTTTTGCGCTTGAAAAGGTCACCTCAGCACCGTCTGTTCATAGGAGCTTCGTGAGTTTGCGGTTTGGTTTGTTAACAACCCTCACCCAAACATCTCTTTGTCTGGCAATGGTAGAAACCTGTCTAGACGAAGGAGTGCTGTCCATCCAAAGCAAAGGAGTGCGAGAAATGCACTTGTCTGGTCTGTGCAGCTGTTGGTATAGAGAAGGAGGAGTGATCGATGTGCGAAAGCGGTAGGGGATCTGCTTACGATTCACAACATACAACTTACAACTTGCTACTCACCTCTTACTATTTACGATTTACTACTTAGGACTGACTACTTAGTCTTTCCCACGTACTACTTATTACTTCCTGCCTACTGCTTGGCTTATTGCTTGCTACTTACGACTGACTATTTACTTCTTGCTACTTACTGCTTGATACTTACTGCTTGCTGCTTATTGCTTACTGCTTACTGCTTGCTACTACACACCACTTACAACATGCCACTTCCTACTTACAACTTACTACTCACTACTTGTGACTTGATACTGACTTTTTACTACGTACCACTGACTACTTACCACTTGCTGTTACTACTTACTACTTACTACTCACCACTTACCAGTAGTGACTCCTTGCTTCTTACTTCTTTCTACTTACCTTTACCCTTGGCTTTTGACGTTGACGGCTTGCGACTTGCTGCTTGCTGCTTGCTGCTTCCCAAACCTCCGGGAGGATCTAAACAGTGGATCCAACCTCTAATTTGGGACACTAAACTCCGAAGAAGTTTTTAGGACCCCCAATAAGGCACTCCTCCCGGTTATTTCAAGCTTCAGGTTTTTTCCAAAACTGTTGGTGTCCAGGACTCGAGTCACTTCACTCAATGCTCGCAGGCGTCCCAATTACAACGGTCCCACCGCCAAGCGCCACCTGCAACAACTGCTTTGCAGACATGACATGTGATCTCGTCCGTGTGGACCCAATGCTTCCGGTGCCTCCGCAGAACTGTTGTTGACCTGGAGACCCTTTTGATTTTGAAAGCGGCCGTTTGACCTTGGGAACAAAACTTTGAATTTGAGGCCTGGTGACTGCAAGACGGCTCAGACTTTACAGCTAGTTTCACTTGAGGGCCGACGAGCAAGAGGATTTTCATTAAAGCTCCACGATTAAAGTGCTTTCGCGACCACTCGTGGACGTTTACCCGGCTGAACACAATCAATCTCCACATCGCTGTCCTCAGTGGATGCAACATCAGGCATGTCTCTGGAAGGCTGTGCAACATCAGGCACGACTCTGGGAGGAGATGCAACATCAGGCACGATAGGTGCGGGCACAGGTGCACTTGGATGGCCGACCTGCCTCTTCAGGCCGCAAGATGCTCTGAAACTGTTGCTGCAATTCGTCGGGTAAGATCGTCGCAACGATTGTGGTTCAAATGTGTGGTGTAGATGCGCATTCTGCCTATTCCGAATGACCGAACATACTCTCTGCAGCAATGCTTGATAACTTGGCGCACTCCAAAGATCTTCTCGGTGCTTGTAACTGACACACCTGTGCACGCTGCTGCCGGTTCTTCGCAAGCAAACGGTATCTTGTGTAGCATCAATGAAAACCAGGTGGAGACATGCTTGCGTTTGCAAAGTCGTCTTCGCCCTTTCTGTCCGGAATCTCCATGTGCGCGTGCTTCTACCTTTGTAGATGTCAGAAAAAAGACATTAGAGGCCCAGAAAAAGATCCACCAGGGTCTGAAAAAAGACACGGGCAGTTACGAGATATTTCGGGGCCGAGAAAAAGACGGCTTAACTCGTGGAGTGGAGGTCGAAAAAAAGATCGTAATCTTTTTCTAGACCTCGTCGCGGGGCTGAAGAAAAGATGGAGGTCGGAAAAAAGACATGCCGGGGCGAAATGAAGATGAACCAAGCGCGGGGTCTGAAAAAAATATTTCGGGGTCGAAAAAAAATAGCCCCCAAGCTAATCCGGCACCAATCCCTGAGCCCAGTCCCGGACCCCCTAAATCCCACCGTACACTCGGTATTCTCAGTAATCCGACGCCAATCCGACACTAATCCGACAATAATCCAGCACCAATCCCTGGGCCGCCCAGTCCCGGACCCCCCCAAATCCCACCGTACACTCGGTACTGTACAAAATCTCTGCATCTCCCTGTCTGTGATTCATGCTGTTTCGTTCACGGTCAGGAAAGCAGTATTTTTTACCCCGGCGTTCCATGATTGATCCAGCACCAATCATAACCAGTGGCCATCCTGCAACAATCCAGTGCTCATACTCAACTAATCCCACAATATTTTTTTGGCTTGTGCGGGCCTCGTCGACTACGGCTGTAGCACTCGGTCCCTACAAACGAACAAACTACCAAACAACAAAAACAACGGTGAAACAAGGAACTTAATTAGAGAGAGCGGAGCTAGCTGCGGTGCCCAGGCTTTGCCGGGGTTAACCGTTCAGCACTTGCTACGGGTCCTCAGCGATCGTTCTACGACAACAGAGGGCCGTCGCCCAAAGTTGCCCAAGACCGTCAGTGGAGCCCAAGTCAAGACTCCGGCCGCCGTTCTAGTTCCGTCGAACAACGGTCGACCCCGAGGTCCTGTTGTGTCCCGATCGTGCACGCCAAAATCCACAAGTCCAAAGTCCAAGGCCATCGGCAGTGGAGAGACCCGTCGACGTATGTCGAAAGGTTGGACCTTGAGCATCCCATGAGTCCAAGGTCAATGGGCCTCGCTCCTAGGCAGGGGGCCATTCATCAAGTTTGCGCTGCATGTCGTTGCCACTTTGTGGAAAATGGGATTCTCGCAGAAGGTACAGCAATTGAAACTGGCCCGCATCATACAAAGCTTTGAGGCGGTGAAAGCCGTACTGGAGGGTGTCCAGGTCCGGTTCATGAAGGTGCGGCATAAGCTCATTGGAAATGAACGGGATTTGGATACCAGGGCCAAGTCCGCCCTGCTCGATGAAAGCATGGGCCGCTGCACGCCACTCGTCTTGTCCCCACGTGTGTCCCTGAAACATCAGAAACCACAGCCAAAGCCTCATCTTGGTCGTCCTCCACAGCCGCCTGCAGGACTTCCGAGTCCTGTGGAAAAGCAGCCGCCTGCAGGATGGACTCCCGAGTCCAACCTGATGAGAAATGACCCGAACGAGTCTGGTCCGGCAGGAACTTACCCGTCGCCACTGCATCCAGTACGACAACGTACTCACGTAGTGCCGCGCTCTGCAACTCACGCCCATAAACTGCATCACTGCCAGTCGCTGCATCCGCGTGATGGCCTAGAACTCGCTTGGTCTCGCGAAGCATCCCGAATTTGCTACACCAAACAAGTGAGGTAACCTTCAATGAGTGCGAACTCACAGCCTGTTCCGTCGATGGACGTGGCAGTAGATACCTCAGCCACCTGGTAATCTCGCTGCTAGACAACGGGTCTGAAGACCAAGATCCATCCGGCAGAGGTGCCGGCAAGAATGGGACATCCGCCTGATCGTTCGGCAAACCAGCCTCAGCCCTAATGTCCAGGAGGAGTTGACCAAAAGGCGTTTTTGCAATACCCTGGCCGGGAATCACCAGAGGCAGTATGCGGCGTCGTTGAGTGTCCAGCCTAGACGTCTTGTGTTCAAGCGTCCCTAGTTCAATGAAGCCCGAACTCCAGTCTTCGTTGCGCACGTCTATCAAGATACTTTTGACACACCGGATGTCCGACGCTCGCGCCCTCGCGTAGAGCATAGCAAGGAAATGTGCCGCCCCGCATCTATCAATGACAGAAATATCGCGATCACAACAGATCGCGTGCAACTGGAGAACTTCGGACACCTTGAGGGGCGACGCCGGGCACCACGGGTTTTTAGTCTGTAGCGCCTTTTTCACCACACCATGAATGCGAGGGCTGCTGAAGACCTCTAGTTGAACACGTAGTCCCAAGGTATAATAACTCCACTTGATAGCACGCAGACTACTGTCCAGTGTGGTGGCCGCGGTCTTAGGCATCTTGAGGACACAATGGATGAAAGACCACAAGACTTTCTCCGCAAAAGGCGGAGTATGACTTGCTTTCAAAAGCCACTCGCAAAAAGTACGAACCGGACCCACATGCTTCAAGATGGTATTCGGTGATTTCCCTGCCAAAACTGCCTGAACAGAATCCGGGCCGTCCTCCTCGTCATCCGCCATCAAAGTACACAGGTCAAAGAAACTCGAAAAGGCATGAAGTAATGTGAGGACCCGGCGGTACGCCTCTTCACGACGATCCGCGGCCCTAGGCCCTCTTTTTGCCTTGACTGCACGAGTCCATGCCTGACAATGAGATCCACTCGTCACCGAATTTCCGGGATCTGAAGGCTGTGCTGCCGTCTGAGGGACAGGCGACGCAGGGACCACTCCCTGATAAGGCAAATTCAAGCCCTGAGGGAAAGCCGCCTTCAATGGATCAAATATGCACAGCATAGCCGGCTGTTCCCAAGGCTGCCGAGGCAGCGACGACCGAGCATGAGTGAGGCTTCGCATGAACACTTCATTCTCACTCGCTCTAGGGTCGTGGCCAGACATCGCGAGGAACCCTGTCAGGAACTACGCCCCGCCAAAACGGTCAAAACTTGAACCGACCAATACGTAAGCAACAAGTTGCAAGAGGGGGACTGCTGCCGTTAGAAATCTCCCCTCACAAAAGACACTAAGCGTAGCAGATACCACTCAAGTCTGACCCCCTTTTCATGTCGCGATTCCCGCCGGTCAAAACTGCTCACATCTGCAGGGATAACGCCGCTTAGCACGGCCACCCTACTGCGATTCCTCTCATAATCGCGTGTTTTGGGGAGATCAAAAAGTGATCCCCCGACCTGACCGAGCCAGCGTCCCGGCAACAGATCTGCATCATTTCGTTCCCCCCCTCCACAGAGGGGGTGCCCCGTGGCAACTCGCACTCTACGAGGATAATCGCACCACCCAGGGCTTTAGCCCGACTCGCGCATTTTGTCGCTGCACTTTCCAGTGCATCTCGCGACAGTCCGACCAATGAACCTCGTGCCGAAAAGCCGAAGCAGGGAATTCCCTGATCGCGATAATCGTTCACTGCGATCTCCCCTATCTCCGCCACGCCGACTAAAGATGGGAAAGAGGTACCATGAGCCATGATAGCAGAGTGTTCCGAGTTCGGATTGCGGATATAGCTTGGCCCGCGCAATTCGCAGGATAAGATCAAAATTCGTTGCCCAGGCACCCGAAAAATGTGAGCATCGGGTCCGACGACGCCCGCCACAGGATTCTCCCCCTCGAGGGGGCGGCCGTAAGCCCGAAAGGCAGCAAGGACCGTGGCCACTCGGGATATCACAGAGGCCGGTATCGGACCTTCAAGTCCTTCCAAGAATTCCTTGTATGCGGCCGTGTCGGGGAACTTCTCGGCGATGGCCTTCCAAGGCATCTTCCACCACCACTGCAGTTTTCCCTGCTCTGCCAGTTCCCGAGCTGACAATGGGCGAGTGGGGTCTGCGCGCGCTTGATCCTCCGCCGACTTCCACAGAGCTGCGAGGTACGACGCTTCGTCGTCGGCCTCGTCCTGATCAACCTCTTTGGCAGCCCTACGGGCGTCGGCCGCGGCCACTTCAGACGGAGTGGCCTCCTGAATGTTGTGGTGGTCTGGATCCGTCCAAGAGGACTGACGGCCCGACCCTCGAGGCTCACCCGACCCCTGGCTGGACCGATGCCACTGGTTCCAGCGCTTGTTCCATTGGCCCTGCTTCTGCTGGCCTCCTCCGCGCCAGGGCTGGCGATTCCAAGTAGTCTGCTGCTGAGGCACATGCACAGCAGGGGCAATAGGCGGCAAAGGTGGCTGCACCGGCACCACTGGTACTTGCCTCCATTCATATCCCGGCGCTGCTGCCGGCAGCTGAGGCACTGGCGGGGGAAAAGGCGCAGCAGCTCGCGCTCCCCCCGATCTTGATTCCCGGTCGCGTCTGCGATCACGGTTTCTGCTCCTCGAGCGCTCAGAGCTACTCGAGGGGGAGCGCCGACGGCGCCGACGCCTCTCACTACCGAATGGGGGCATCATCGGCCCCATCGGTCCCATTGGCCAGGGAAACATCCCCGCGTCACACACTCAGCACGTAGCTGAAACCGGGCTCCAGCCCTCCGAGATTCTGTCAAGCGCTTCGGCGCCTTATCAAACACCCAGCACCAGGCTCCTGCCTTGCTTGCTGCTCTGAATCTTTTTTTTTGGGGGGCCAAAAGGGATTGGCAGACAAACGTCACGTACGAAGGTGCCTCTGCACGCGCGCAACCTCTGGCGTACACACTCACATCGAAAGCGCTCTTGCGCATGTTTTCGCTCGAGGTCCCGAGCGCTGTCTCTGCACGCAGGCGTCCCGACCTGAGCGCCGCAACACACAACGATGTCAATACACAGCTGACTCGATGCTCAGACGAAAATGTACTTTCATAGCCGACATCAGTGCAGCATAAGTCAGTTGGCAGAAGTACCGAAGCCTGACGGTCACATATCAGCGCGTAGGCCGAGCAACTCGGGAAAAAGCGCCCTCAACCAGGCAGTCGCCGTGCCGCTCGGGCAGCACATTCATGAACATATGTAAAATGACAGCTGCATCTAAGTTGGGCCCGCACCAGCATTTTAGCGGCGGCCTTGGGATTTCCACGAGCCCGCCTAGCATGGTGCATGACTGCCTCAGTGTGATCCTCCACCGTATAAGTACCTGCAGACTGCGAATCGATGTCAAGCAAGTCCTCAGTAGCAGTATCACCATCAAGGGGTAGCCTGAGCTCCCCCGACGAAGCCGTAGCCGACACTGTTGGCTGTCGAGCCCCCACCTCCTGTAGGACTTCCGTCCTGGCCTCGATAGCCGAACTGTCCGAATCAGGCGCGGGACTCACCCGCCGTGCCTTATGCCTCTTACGAGAGGCCTTCCCGGCCTTCCTTGTCTTCTTCTTCTTACGCTTCTTCACGGACGGGAGGGGAGGCTCCGGTTGCTGTGGCTCAAAGGCTGAGCTCCACGACGACCAAGAACGGTCATCGGCCTCATCCGTCCCTACAGCATCCGCCATTACAAACCAATGCCTGAGAAGCAAACGGCTACAAACACGTGCAACATCTTGAACGGCCTCCGGTACTCGCTTGCAATCCAACAGCAGCAACACAATCAGCATGTTACCGCAATCAAACAAACACTCAACTCAGACTTTTAGGCGGCGCGAACGAATCTCACAGGTGACAACGTGTTGGCCACTAGCACTGGAGCTGAAAAACTCAGGCGCCTGCCATCCTGGACCAATTGAAAAGAGCTCAACTTAGGGAAGCGACCAAAAAGCTCGAAAAGACGTTGCGACACTAAGTACTTCGCTTGATCGATAATATCTCTGCAACTCAGCTGAATATCGAGCGTGATGGTCATATATCCGGTTAGGCGGTCAGTAGCGACCACCTGCATCCTGAAGATATATCCCGGAGGCGTATCCCAGGGCAAGTTTGCCCCGCCCGCCTTTCTCTTCCTCTGAGCAAGAGACATGCCATGCAAAGTCTCACTACTGGAGCTGAGGTTCCAGCAATCCTCGAGGAACATGCTCCGGATCAGAATTGCGGCCAACCCGAAACTTCCAATGAAGAAAGCAAGAAACTAGCATCTGCTGAGACTCCAACCGCGACACGCGATCGAAAAGGCGGTCAGCAAGCATGAGCTGCATTCTATGCAGCCGACTGATCTGGATCTGTAACCCACGCATGTGGTGCAACACAAAGCTCTCAGTGGATGTAAACGAATCCGAGGGTGTCGGCGCCTCTGCTTCTCCGCCGGTCACTTCAGGTGATTGCATACTCCTGAATCACAGGCCAGTGCGTCGGTCACACACCTAAAAATCACCAAAGCTCCAGCTAAGTAGGCAACCGCGAGATCACTCTGCAAGTTGAGCAGGATACTGTAAGCTCAAAGCTCAAGACACACTCAAGCAGAAGATTCACTTCATCAAGACCTCCCAGCGAGAGACTGAGGCACAAGCATCCGGCCCGCCCCCCTATTTCAAATAAAACTCTCGCCCGATTCAGGGCTTCCTGCCCCTTCGAGAGGTCAAGCTGCAACGGACGAATGTATTCTTCAACTGGTTTACAGCATGTATAAATGGGTTCAATAAAAATGGGCAGTGTAAAAGGAAAGCCCTAAAACAACAAATCAAAATTGGACTTAGTTCTCTAAGTCATTTTGTCATGTTGTTTTTCTTTGAACAATAAAGCTCTATCTTCTGCAAGTGTTCAAAGAACGAAACTGGCTCCTTTCTGTCGCAAAACTAAGGGCATAGGAATGCTGCTGGCATCCTGGGCGCCCTTACCCTTCCCCGTTTTGCCCTTGCCTGGTTGTTTGCCCTTGCCTGCGCCTTTACCCCCTTTGGAGCCCTCATGATTACGCCACTTATTTGCATTATCAACGTTGGCTGTGTTCTTTCGCTTGAGACCCGCCGGCAGGGGGACAAGCAAGGAGGACACCGCGTAGGATTCAAGAGCGACATGAAGTGCACGGTCCATGTCACAGCTTCCATCCGGGTTGGCACGGGGTCTTTTGTTTTCCTCAAGCATATGCACCCAAACGGCCTTGTCTGCTTGAATCAACTGCTCGATGCCGACGCGCTGGTGGTTCGCTGGGGCAGGTCGGCGAAAGTGCATCATAAGCTTAGCCAGGCAGCTTTCATACGCACTGAGGCTGACGCAATTTGCCATGACATAAGCATACCCTCTGCGTTTAAACCCCTCAAGCAATGCCAACGCACCGTGAACTGGTTGATCCGTGGTTTCAGCATGTTCACGCACTGCGATCTTCCCCGCCTCCACTTCAAGAACTTTCGACGGCTTATGGTGATTCAACAGCTCGTGCTGGCGGGAAACACACTTCTCAATCGGAATGTGCTTGAAAACATTTTCGCGGTGTTGCTCACAAGTCAAGTCTAGCAATGAATGCCCAGGCTCCATTGTTGAGTCGATGTGCAACCCAGGGTTAGCAGCCTTAAACATGGTCAAGCGTTGGGACTTTTCAGCCTCGGGTAGCTTCTGTTTAGTGGTATTGTCTGGATCCAGGATTGACTGACGAAGTGCACTGAGCTGAAGGGTTTGCGACTCGAACAACAGGCGCTTAAAGGCAGCAACATCACCCAAGGACAGTCCAGGGAGATTCGACTCAAGCCACTCCTTTAAGACCTCTTCGGACAGGTCTTGACCGGGAGTCCCTATAAGATGCGCTGTGGTCCCCAGCGTCCTAACTCCCAGACCCTCTAACTTGCCCACCGTTGGCTGACTCAAGTTGATCTCCTTGCATCGTCGTTGAAAGTGAGCCTCAGAATCAAGGATGGCAGTCATTGCGAAATGTACTTCGGACGAGAGACTTAAGCTGTAGTGTTCCTAGTTTGCACCACATGTTTTCTGTTGCCATGTTGTGACCTAGTCGCATGACGCTCAACATGTCAAGACTCTCAGCCGGGACTGCGCGGGTGGTTCAGCAATGATACTCACATGCACTCCTAGGCTGCGCTCACAGACACTGCAAACCCTCAACAAATACTGCGCACTCCGTCCGATTTCACGGCATAAGTACCGTGAGCTGCTCATCTTTTGTGCCCTCGCACGAGTCCCCTCGGACTAGGCTTTAAAGGCCGGCAGCTACCCGTCTACAGTTGTGACATGTGCCACTGACCTGCCCCAAACTTTTTGGGACGACATAATTGGATGTCCCAACTTTACCACATGCCAAAATGGCATTTCCTCCCCAAGACCGTGCAATCACGTAATGACATTTCTTGGACTTCACATGCACAAGTGAGTCTTTCAAGCCCCACGGCCAGTCCTGCTTTTGGACCTTTTGAGCGGGCTGCTCGTCCTCGGACGATGTCCCTGAGCTCTCAGCACTCTCGCTGTTGGATGAGGAGCTGGAATCCGAACTGATGTCCACAATCTCGCCCTGGCTCGGTACCTCATCACAAGCGTCTGGCTCCGACTTAACCGCATCCTCAGACAGCTGGGGAAGTGCAGTGAAATACTCAGCACGTGAGTTGTCTGAGTCGACGGCATAAATCGCCTGCGATCCGGCTGTGGCCGATGCATGTCTGCCTAACACTGACCTCACTGGCTCGCTTACACCGTGCTTCGAACACCATGCGAGTGGAGTGCGTTTGAGCGAATGTGAAGAGATGCGCTTCAGGCGCTCTTCATCACACACTGGGCCCAATGCGATCCTCAAGAATGACGTAACCTCTGCTGCTCTGATCTCACGCTTAGCCAGCATTTCACCATCTGCAGATATGGGGGCCTTCAGAAGCGGACCCTCAACTTTGCCTTGGACCTCCATGCCTACTGCGCTGAGAGCGTCGAGAGCCACTGACACCCACTGGGTGCCAGTGACACCCATTGCTGGGATCAGCACCGGGAGGAGCTTCTTGGATCGTGCCGGGCCGTGACGCTGTTGGTTTTATGCATCCCGAGATACAAGACAACATACCCTGAAGAATCGTTGAACTCATGCTCAATCCACTGAATGTCCGAAAGGTCGCTGTTCCTACAACGGCCATACAGGGCAAAGAGGCATCTGGCCGACATGGCGCGATCGAAGCTGTGGGCTCCCCTATCCTCCACCATGGTGTGCAATCGGCGTGTTTCACCCACTGTCAACGCTTCAGCTTGGCGCAACCATTGAACTCCAACTGACATTTGTTCGGCGATCCCACACACTCGCCGGCTCTGCAAGATGTCGTCCAAGTGGAAACCAAGCACATGATGAAGGAAACGCATCGCACTAAGGACCCCAGCCCCTTTCGAGGCAGCTGCACCCGCCTTTTTGAGGTCGGTCATATACGCCCACAGCGACGCCTCTGATAAGCAGTCCGACTCTGACGCGGGGCCGTTAAGGTACCATCTGAGAAATGTGTTGAAGGCATTTGCACGCTTGTCTATTGTCCAAGGGGAGCGAGTGCCGACAGCAGCCGTCACTGATTCTGGATCGACCTTCCCGCTGCGCAGCAGTGTACAAGGAACCAAGTTCTGGGGTACAAGCCGAAGGCCCGCAACCAACTTACCTAAACTAACCTCCAAGACCTCAGCACGTCTTTCGCGGAAAGACAGGTTCTTAGTGGCTTTGATGGCCACCGCAAAAATTGGCTTACCTTGAAGATACACCTTGGCACTCACAGACACATAGGTTGTCTCTTGATGGGCTGGCTCCTGGGGCACAAGGAGCTTTTTAGCAATCAAGGGCATCTTAGGTACTGATGGCAGTGATGGCAGAGATTCGCTGAAAACGGCACGCATGGGGCCGCGCTCCCAAGGAAACTGCAGTTTGCGCAAGGATGGATTCGAGACCAACTCGGTCGACACCACGGCAGCCACATCAACGAGCGGTGTTATCTCGGACTCCTGAAGCTGGCAGTGAAAGTCCTGGTTACAGGAGGTGTGCTCAGGCTTGCATCTGAACCCACCGGTCGCCAAGAGGAGCTGGAACCGGCAGCGAGCTGCTCTAGGTGTTTATCGAACTCACTCAAAAATCCTTCCTCGGTTTCAGCTACTTCCCTGTAATGCTTCCATTCTGCAGAAGCGTCACATCCTTCTTGCTCTTCCCAGCCATCCGGCTCCAAGTCTGGTGAGGGATCCACATTTAGAGGCTCGGATTGTCTCGAAGTGCCTGCCAGGCCTAAACCACAAGTTGTAGGTCTACACCACTAGCAACCGCAGGGGGGAGTGGTGGAAACTCGGGCCGGGACTCCGGGGCCTCCACTGATTACACCACCAAGCGGTTGCTCGTTCGACGGCACTGCAGGAAACGGCCACCAGCAGAAACTTTTCTTTTTGGCGTCGATGCGAAACCCACTCAGCTGCACGCTCTCCGCTTTCCAGCTGGCTTTGTGGCTTGTAGCTCACCAGTCTATCGTCTCAGCTCTGCATGGAGTCCGTAGACAAGCTGTTCTGAAGGATCTAGAAGATTCTGCACGGACCCGGAGCTACTCATCGGCTCGGCTGATGGTACAGGTGTAACTGCAACCCCTGGCACAAGTTGGTCTGCCGGCAGAGTCGTTAAGGT